AATCAAATAGTATAATTTTGTTTTAACATGTCGCGAAGATTCACTAACTGGCACACTATACGTAATACTAATTCCGGATAAACAGAAGCGATTTCTGTACTTTAGATGTGGAAACTGGAGGAATGGCCGAATTTGGTGTCAACCATGCCAACTGAATCGGGTAAAATATTTTGCTATAATTATTCTATCTAAAACACCTCTTGCAATTTTGTTAAAATAAAGTATGTGTGTACTTAACTACTTATTGTATTTATTAATTTATTACTTCTTGAGCATTAAGACCTTAAATACAACTAATAAAGGTTTTTTTCTTAAATTACTTTGAATATCGGTAAATGTCAAAAAGTTGTTAATTCATTTGATGTCAAGAATTGTTCACCAAGCAATTCCTTGATACCGATCAAGGAATTGACCCATTTGCCGAAAATCACCGACCATTTATGACCGTTTCGTGACCAATTCAGACAACTTTAAGAGGACAAATATCATCATTTGGGCCGCTTATTAGATAGGGCCTAACACATCCTAATGGCTTTATAGAAGACTAGTGTAAAAAAAAAGTAGTTTTGTATTTGTTCTTTGTTGGTTTGTCATCACATCTGCAACTTCTGTGGTGTAGTGGGGTGATCAGGTCACTCTGGAGCCTAGAGTAAACATACTAACTATTGGATTAAAAATACTAACTCTTGGACATTTCAACCCTCATCCTGACTAATACAAATGCGAAAGCTTGTATGTATGGATGTTCGTACTCTTTCATGCCGAAACTACTGAATGGATTTTAATGAAACTACAATAATATAGGTTATATATTATAATAACACATCGCTAATCCCTATCATTTAACCCTATCTAATAAATACCTTTAAACGAGCAATTCTTGTATACATACATATCATAATTCTTGTATATATTTAATCGGAATCTCGGAAATAGGCTCCAGCGATTTGCATGAAATTTAGTATGTGCGTAGATTCGGGGGCGAAAAATCGATCTAGCTAGGTTTCTTCGTTGTTCTTTCTTCTCTCACACTTATTTTTTTTTTACTTTTTTCTATACCAGATCATTGCTTTCTTGAATTTTTATTTTTTTTTCAAATTCCAAAATATATGATTTACCAAAAAAACGCAAGCTCTGTAGTCCAGGTACTTAATATTATAAATGAGAATGAAAGTTTTTTTGTTACGATTTCACGCCGTAACTAATCAATTGATCTTCATGAAACTTTGTATACATATTCTTAGAGGTTTTAAAAAGGACATAGGATTATTTTTACTAAAAAATATATATATTTAAGGGCTTTAACGCGAACGATGTCGCGGGCTAAAAGCTAGTAGGGTATAATTTATAAAGATACAAGAGTCTCTCAAAGTAAGTCTGTTACGCCTTCACGACTAAACCGCAGAAGCAATTTCGATGAATTTTAGTCGCAAGATAGGACCTTGGAGAAGAAATTAAGCTACTCGGAGTACTAATTCTGAGCAGACGCGGTCGCGTGCACCAGCTAGTTGTCCATAATAATACTTCTGTTCAAACAGGACCAACTTGTGTATTTCAGGTGCAGATTCGGGGTGTGCCGGAAGGGCGTCAGCACTTCGAGTCATGTCACATCAGCGCACGATGAATATCAGAGCGGTAAAAAATGCTGCTTTGCCTGTTTCTGTAAATTTGCCTTTAAATTTCCTGTCTGCCTGTAAACTTCACCGAAAAAAAAATATTTTTTGTCGATCCCAGATGATTTTGTTATTTCCCTTTTTTTTTAAAGTTCTTTCTTTTGTTAAAAACACCAGTTTATATTTTGTTATTATTACGTCGGAAAGATCGAAAAATATTATGCATATTTCATTACTCAGTAATTTGTATCTAAATGTAATATCCAAAATACACGATTTACAAAAAAAAAGGTCCTCCGGGTACTATATTATTATGGAATAGAATTTCAGCAGTATAATCCTATTTTTTATTTTTGTTTAAGAAACTTATCCTCAAATCGTATACACTAATGTTTTCAGTCATCTACGGCGGTACGACATGGCATTCGCTAACGAAGACCTAACATACGAAACCTGGAGCAGAAGAATTTGCAACGTGCATGTTACACGTGCTACAATGCAGGTAAATGGCGCTGCCTTCGCATGTGTGCATGTCAGTTTCGAGGACATTTATAGTTTAAGGTTATAAAGAATTTTTTTTCTTAAAAATAGACAATTTTTAATAAAAAACTGGCAAACGTTGTTTTGCCATATAAATTATTTCTAGGGAATTTGGAAGTGTTTGACAGACATAGTTGACAGGTTGACAGTTACAGTTTGTATGGGAAGATAAAATTGTTATTTCGATTTTCTATGCAATTTTTCCATAATTTCTCATCGTTTAAACCTTCACTGGACTGCCAAAAATATTGCAAAACCAAAATTAGCCAAATCGGTGCAGCCGTTCTCGAGTTTTAGCGAGACTAACGAACAGCAATCCATTTTTATATATAAGAGAAGATACCTTAATTGGCAAACAAGTTAACTCCATATGGGCGAGTTTTACAGGAGACACTTAAAACTGTATAATATTTTTTTAGACTACTTATGAGAAAATCTAAAATATAGTTGGTAGATATTATCGTAAATTGTAATTTTTGATATTATAAAATCCATTATACATTTTCATTACCATACTACAGCGTTTTTTAGGAGTTATCCGTTTTTTCTTTCGTGCAAAAGTATGTGATCTGGGAGTTAGCTCGTTTTCTTGATAGATTTATTTTAAATAAAAACTTTCTTTTTCTTTTCAAGTGTACAACCAAAGCGTCGTAGGGTTTTAAAAATTTGTTATTAACAACCAGGAAAGAGTCAGGTTTATTGGTATCATCAAATTTAATTTAATTTTTTAATATCTGTTGTCATCTTCTTATGAATAGTAATTCTATTGCTAGAATTACTTTATCAACTGAGAAATTGGTTAAAATCGTTGCAAACTAATCAGAACTCAGCCTTTGCCTTCATTCCATAGAAAGGAACACCCATCTCTGGTTTTCATATCATAAATACACACGTTTTGAAGGGTGGTATATAAAAGCGTTAACTTTTTTACATTTTTAAGGGTCTTTCCTATCTCTTTGCCTAATTGTATCTAAAATTTTTATTAAACTATCAACATAAATTAGTTTTTTATCCCGTCATATTTAAAAATTTATCAAATAACATTTTTCCGTCATCTTCAGAAATATTATGACATTGGATAACACTATTTCTCTTTTACTTACAGTAGTCTAGTTACATGATTTTTTAGTAGTTTCGTTATCCGATTTATCATTACTTGTAGAGAGGAGATCTGACTTAAAACTTAGAGGAATTGTTCTTTATCAAACGGAAATATGTCTTCATTAACAACAATTTCATATGTTTGCGTCTACTCCATGGCAGACAGTTCATTTCCTATACAATAAATGTTGTTATCAAATCATCATCATCATCGTCATTTCAGCCTGTTTGAGTCCACTGCTGAACACAGGCCTCCCCATAGACTGCCACGAAGTAAGATCCTGAGCCACCTGCATCCATCGACTTCCCGCACACTTGCAGAAATAAATTCGATGAATTAGAAGCTACGCTATCATGCCCAACCAAAGCGTCGTAGGGTTTTGAAAATTGGTTATTAAGAACCAGAATAGAGTTAGGTTTATTGGTATCATCAAATTTAATTTAAATTTTTAATAAACATTAAAATGTATAACTTCCAACCGTAGCGTATGTTATTTGAAAATAAAATTTTTCTAGAGAAAATTTCTACAATAAAATGAAAGATAAAGGTAGGCGTGGGTTCGGTGGATTCCCGCAGTGGTGAAAAACTTTTTGTCCATTTTGTACAAATTTTTATCTAATATATAAAATTCTCGTGTCGGTGTTTTACTTGAATTTGTAATAAATTTGAAATTGAATAGTTCCTCCGAACGGCCAGGGTGGAGAATCGGACAACATCTATTTTCCATCACCCTAAATGTAAAGGGTGGCCCACCCCCAAACATTTTTTTTACCCTACAAATAATTTATATGGCAAAACAACGTTTTCCGGGTAAGCTAGTACTGTTATATTATGATTAAACTGCTACCAATTCTGTTCTATACTATTTAATGGCATTTCGGCAGTATAACCCTCTTTATTTTTGTTTAAGAACCTTGTCCTTAATCGTATATACTAATGTTTTTAGTCATCTACGGCGGTACGACATGGCATTCGCTAACGAAGACCTAACATACGAAACCTGGAGCAGAAGAATTTGTAACGTGCATATTACATGTGCTACGATGCAGCTAAATGACGCTGCCTGCATCGCATATGTGCATATAATCTGCTCCTCTCGAGTTCGCGATTTATCAAGATCATCAAAGTTTCGAGGAAAATAATAATTTAAGGTTATAAAGACATCTTTCATACCAATTTCTACCAACTTTTTATGAATTTTAATTCATTAACGCTGTTTTTTAATAATTATAAAAGGTGACATGTTTTGTCGCTCTATTGAAATGTATTTATTATAATTAAAATCTAAACTTACATATATTCATGAAAAAGTAATTTTGCACCGAGGTGCGCACCATATATTTAAAAAAAAAGGCAACAAAGGCATTTTATTTTTTCAAATTTATTTAAAAATATTAACATGATTTGGCTATGTTTATCTTGAGAAGTAGTATGAAAGCTAAAGTACATAAAAAATACATCATAAAAAAATATTACGATAGCAACATTCATAGATAACGTTTACACAGTCAACATCGAACGCAATATGCTAACTAGCGCTGTAGGATTGTTAAAAACGCTCATGAGACACCACGAAAGGCGGTGGTCACTCGTGACAGCTGGGCGTATCCGATCCGTGACTTTGAAATAAGATATGGCTTTGAGGACCGGTCGTCTACGAGGAGCGCACCCACATCCTCAGCAGGTGTTTAAGAAGCCTCTAGTCTATAGAATAATGTAGGTAAGGGAAGTCGGCAAATTGGATCCGTAACTTCGGAATAAGGATTGGCTCTGAGGACCGGGGCGTGTCGGGTTTGGACGGGAAGCGGATGCGGCCGGTGCCGGGCCTGGTCGATGCTCGTGCGTCTCTCGGGGCGTGCGGGCTGAATCCGGACCCGCGTTCCGGCCTTCCGCGGATCTTCCTAGCCGTAAGGTCGCGCCTTTTTCGTTTCGTGCGCGATCGGCGCGCGCCTGTACGACCGCCGTTCAACGGTCAGCTCAGAACTGGCACGGACAAGGGGAATCCGACTGTCTAATTAAAACGCTGGGTGTTTACGCAATGTGATTTCTGCCCAGTGCTCTGAATGTCAACGTGAAGAAATTCAAGCAAGTGCGGGTAAACGGCGGGAGTAACTATGACTCTCTTCTAAGATGGCGGTCCGAGCCCATGCTTGACCCTAACGGGTGAAGATTGTCGTCTTTGCTCCTAGGTTGGGTAGTTACGTGGGGATGGCGGGACGGCTGCCAGCCACAGTCCTGCTGTCCCAATCACGGTCTCCCGACCTAGCAATGGGGCCCTGTATGTCCAGGAACCGTCCGGATAAGCGGGGTTCAACTCCTACCTGCAGCCTGCACGTGGCGCCGCTGCTCTGAACGAATACAGGAGGGGGGGACTTGCCCAAATTAGTAGCTCTGTTAGTGGCTGTTGCGAGGCTACAGTCTCGCGGGCATCCCCTTAAGACAGCGAGGCCCAGCGCATTTCCACTGGTACCCCCTGGCCTTCCCTACCCTACCATCATCTGGTGCTGGGAACGGGCGGGACGGGGGGTGTCAGTCAGGCTTGTGACCGGGTTTGCTGGGAGTTCTTCTCAGTATGCGCAGCGTTGGTTCGGTTGGGGCTATACGAAAGCAGGGCGGTGGGCGAACCCGGCGGCTGGGCTTGCACCCCGGCCACCACGGGCAAACTAACAAGCAATGGACAAAAAGAGAAAGAATTTTTGCCACCCTGACCTCCCACAGGAGTCGGAGAGCTTGGCCCATTCCCCCACCGCTCGGGCTGGGGCCCCGTCCCCTTCCTCAGCGGTCATGCGGAGTTGGACCTGCCCGTCATGCGGGCGGACCTTCGGCACCAAGACCGGGTTGGGCGTCCATAGACGGAGGGCCCACCTGGAGGACGTAAACCTGGAGGCGGCTCCTAAATTGGTGAAGCGCAGGTGGCGGGAGGAGGAACTCGCCCTCATGGCCCGTCAGGAAGCCAGGTTCCTGGAGGAGAAGGGCTGCTGTTCGAATGCAGACCTGCTCGTGGCCTGTGCAGGGTTCGAGCGAACCCTGGAGGCCATTAAAGGCAAGAGGCGCGACCAAAAATATAAGAGCCTGGTACAAGCGTGCTGGGCCGAAATCGAAAATGAGAATAACGCGTTGGTCGCGCCTCCGAGCAGGGATTCAGCGCAGTCCCAACCGGAAAGGACCGGGGGGACTGATGAGCCTGAGGTGCGGGAATGCCTTCTGCAGCCGTGCGCGGATGATCCAAACGGGCGCTCTAGCAGTGTCCCAGCAGTCGAGCGTGGGGCGCGAGTCGTCGAGGAACTCCTTGAGAGGGCCTCGAGGAGGAGGGCCAAGCACGACCTGGGTGCCAAGAGCGCGAGACGCCTCCATATGAAACCGGACTTGACTCGGGCCGACGCCGCATCAAGTGTTATGTCGAGCCGCAAGCGGAGACGGATAGAGTACGCGAGGGTACAGGAACTGTACCGGAAGTCCCGAAGTCGGGCAGCAGCCGAGGTGATAGATGGCGTGCACCGCAGGACGTAGCACAGTCTGGAGGAGATGGAGGCCTACTGGCACCCGATCCTCCAGAAGGTGTCTGAAGCCGACGGACCCACACCGGAGGCTCTCAATGCCCTTAGGCAGAGGGAGCGGCACGGGGGTGAGCGCGACTATTCCCGGCTGTGGGTGCCTTTCTCCGTTGACGAGATCAGGGCATCCCGCTTCGACTGGCAGACGGCGCCAGGTCCGGATGGCATCCGACCGGATGAGTGGCGCCTTGTTCCTGCGGCCCTGAAAGCGGAAATATTCAACTCTTGGATGACCAAAGGAGTCCCCGAACCACTTCGGCAGTGCCGGACAGTCTTCGTGCCGAAAACGGACGATCCTGCTGGGCCTGGCGAATATCGGCCGATCTCGATCGCGTCGATTCCGCTAAGGCACATGCACTCGGTCCTGGCCAAAAGGCTTCTGGAGTGCTGCCCCCCCGATGCACGACAGCGCGGTTTCATCCGCTACGACGGCACGCTGGAGAATTCCGCCGTGCTAGACGCGGTGCTAGGGGATTGTAGGAGCAAATTGAGAGAGTGCCACGTGGCGGTGCTCGACTTCTCAAAGGCGTTCGACACGGTGTCCCACAAGGCACTGGTCGGGCTACTTAGGGAGCGAGGGCTGCCCGAGGCATTCTGTGACCATGTACGCCGTATCTATGATACCGCGACCACCTCTTTGGTGGTCGGTGGGAGGTACGGCTCTCCTACCAAAGTGGGACGTGGGGTGCGTCAAGGGGACCCGTTATCGCCCCTCTTGTTCAACATGGCCATGGACGTAATCCTGGCGTCTCTGCCGACGGACGTCGGATATAGGCTGGAATTGGAGAGAATCTCGGCCCTTGCCTATGCCGACGACCTAGTCCTGCTTGCAGGCTCGAAGGTGGGGATGCAGGAGTCCATTGACCATGTGTGCGAGGTGGGCGCATCGATGGGTCGCTTGGTTAACCACAAAAAGAGCTCCGTCTTGTCGATGGTGCCCAACGGGAAGCGCAAGACGCACCACTATCTGACCGGGAAAACGTTCCGGGTAGGTCGGAGGTGGCTGCCGCAAATCACTTGCACAGAACGATGGCGCTATCTCGGCATCGACTTCCAGGTGACTGGATGCGCGACGTTAGAGCATGGAATCAAACTCACCTTGAATAACATCTCAAACGCACCCCTTAAGCCGCAGCAGCGGCTGGAAATCCTAAAGGGACACCTTATTCAGAGTTTCCTGCACGGCCTTGTGTTGGGCAGGATCTCGGAGGACAGGTTGTGCATGCTCGACGTCCAGATCCGGGGTGCGGTAAGGAAGTGGCTCTGGCTCCGGAAGGACGTGCCTGTTGGGTACTTCCACGCGGAAACTAAGGACGGCGGCTTGGCGGTCCCTTCCCTGCGGTCAGTCGTCCCGGACCTCATTTTAACGAGGTTTGGGCGGCTTGAGTCGTCAGGTTGGTCAGTGGCTAAAGCCGCCGCCAGATCCGAAAGGATCCGTAAAAAGTTGAGCTGGGCCAACAGGATGTCTGGATAGTTCACCAGTGCAGACCCGGTCACGGGCCATAGGTCCGTCGGGCGGTATTGGCGCGAGAGACTGGGGCTCAGTGGACGGATTCGAACTACGCGGTCCGCCCGCACTCCTGCGTCCACTAAGTGGTTGCGGGAGGAGTCTTCCGGGGTCTCCGGTCGGGAATTCGTGCAGTTCCTCCAAACCCATATTAATGCCCTACCCTCACGGGTTCGAACGTCCAGAGGGCGAAGGATTGGTCGTGAGTCGTTGTTGAACTGCTGTGCAGGTTGCATGGTCCCTCACCACCGACGGCTAAAAGAGTCGGCTAGTCGGGCTAAAAGAGAGTCTATTCCTTATATATCACCATCTTGGTGCTGAGAGGCTCCCACATGAAATGGCAGGTTCAACCGCATGACCGCGGTCGGGGACGCCGGCATGAGTGGTCGGGGTCCTGTGGACAGGGCTGCTGCCGAGCCCTAGGCGGGTGTGTTCGTTTCCGCAACCCAACATCCAGCCCCCGTTCGAACACCAATCGGCACAATTCTGATTCGCTCAAGCGGGATGGGACACCGGGATTGGGTCTCTCGGGTGTGCCATAATGATTACGACCTTTAAGTCACTAATCACGATGGCATAATGATCGATTGAAATAGCCAAATGCCTCGTCATCTAATTAGTGATGCACATGAATGGATTAACGAGATACCCACTGTCCCTATCTACTCGTTCGCCGGACGCCGAAGCGAACGGACGTGCGCGTACTAGTCAGCTTTCTAGCTGAACTTTGGAAATTTTCCATTACGCAATCGTATCGCTTTTGCTTATATATTTCATTGACAGTGACATTTATCTTAATTATTATATAGTGTAGCATAGCAGTGTGGGACAGGAGTTAAATTAAGTAATGTATTAGAGACTTCAGAGCCTGGGGAATATCTAGAATCATTACATTAAATTACAAATCATAATATTATTATGATCGGCGGAAACAGTCAAAAATACGTCGTCATCTCACGCGCGCATGAATGGATTATCAAGATTCCCGCTCTACATATCTACTATCAAGGAAACAGAGTCATAGCACAGCCAATGTTGAACTTGACTCTAGTCTTGAGACCTGAGTGGTAATAATGATCACTTACGCACTCAAGTGCACGGAATTAGTGCAAAGAATAAGTGCGATGAAATTCTTAGAATCTGTTTGGAACTTATTTGTAAGATACTAATTTTCAAAATATTATCATGAGTTTTTAGCACTAAACTTATTCATTCGAATGTGATCTTCTGAAACATTTTCATTGTTCCAATTATTGGTTAATACAACTATTTTTAAATAAATTATGTAAATATTAGGTTAAAAGAATAATTAATTTATATAATAAATCGTAAATAAAAAACACTATTAAAAGAAATTTTTATTTGGATCTACCTAGATAAACAAGAATGTAATAATTTTGTAACATGTTCTTGAAACGAATAAATCTCCAAAAAAATCATGTATTTTATATAATACATTTTTTTGTAAAAATATTTTAAGTATGTAAATAATGTCATGGAATTTATTGATGGGTTTAATTTAATTTAATGTGTTCCTATTTTAAGGGTTGTAAATAAAAGTTTTTAAGCATTTATTGACTTCTTTTTCATATTCTCAGAAAACCATTTTTTTTAAATAAATGGTCCACTGGATTATACGTTTCATTCTCACACACGCACGCGTTTAAGTCTTTAAGTTATATTACATTCGCTAATCACTCTATCATTCGCATATTAGTAGATTCCTTACTTCCGCTTAACCCCTACCGCTTTAGTTAGACTTTAGTCTATGATCGATCACCGCGTCGATGACAAGCCTGTCCGTCTGAGTTCACGCGAATATCTCCAAAGAAGAGAATTTCATCATAATTCTTAATCCCGCATCAATAAAACGCCGCGTTAAAATAATAAAGCTCGAAAAGAGCAAGTGATCGCTGTGATAAGAACCGATAACTATAGGGCACGTGGCCGCCATTGTTGGACATAGTGATGGTGAATGTGGTATCAGTGAACCAGACGCCTCAAAACAGTAAGTCCCTTCTTTACCCCACATCTCCTTGGTCCTTCGACCGCTGATGCATTCTAATTCATTACCACGTACACATAACACATTCATCAACACAGGCTAACTTCGCTCCGCCGCCATTTTGCACACGCTAATATATAAAATAAAATTCAAAAATATATACATCGTTTATTTAATAGTAGTAGTTAAATATTAAATAGAAATTACTTTGGTAAATGTAAATAACTATAACTCCGGCGTAATTCAAATCAAATAAATTTTAAACGATAGAGAAAAATCACTTATGAATTTATCAACAAGCAGAATTCGGCGGTCGCTTCTAGTTTTCGAAAAAATAAATAATGAAATAGTGTGATTTTTACTATAGAAAACCACCATTTTTTTGTTGTCAATATGTCAATTCAGCTCGTATTTCTTGGTGGTCATAAAAAAAAAACCTAACATCGAAGGTTAAGGCGGGAGCGGAGCTCCCGCCTGAACCTTCTAACCTAATCTATCCTAGTCGGATGCGCTCTGTGTCGGTTCTGTGATTCATTAAATTAATAAAATCGGAATATCGATACGTGTATGATGTCGCCCGCTTCCTATATTTATCATGTTGGCAGAACTGTATATTGAGTTTTTGAAGTCAAACAAATAAAATGGTGGATTTCTTAGTACAAAAAACAAGTTTTAAAATATTTTTTTTCTCGAAAACTATAAGCGACCGCCGAATTCTGCTTGTTGATTAATTCATTAGAGATTTATCTCTAACGTTTAAAATTTATTTTAATTGAATTACGCCGGAGTTAAAGTTATTTACATTTACCATTACTTTTACTGTAATAGTCGATCATAGTAGATACTCAATTTTTCCGTTCGTTCATACGCAAAGTTTCGTTTTAAAGTTAAATCGTTCACGGTTTGCTAACAATAATGACTTCTGTTAAACTATTAGAAGCTAAAGGTCTTAAACTTATTTTCTATTATTTAGATAGAATAAAACATTTTAAATTGATAATTGTTAATAACATTGATAAAATAAGATCCGATTATATGCAGGAAGTAGAACTAATAAATTCTCGAAACGAAGTTATATCCAGAATTCGTACCTTTCTTCAAGGTCATAGAAGCATTCGAGAAACTTTTTAATCATATAAAATATTTTGAATACTGATTAACTAACGATAGTAAGATACTAGTATTAAAATCGTTACACCAAAACATAAGCTTCCAAGTTTTGATTTAATTTTCTTTTCTGGGAAACCCGAAATATGGCCGTTATTTTAACTTTAAAATTTAAACTTTACAGAAATGATTCACGAAAAGAAATATCTCACCGACGCCGAACGCATACAATATTTTGTGTCGAAACTATCACGATCTTTATCTATTACGGCGGGAATACTACCCGTTGCTTCAAATCTTATCCTTTAAACGAGCAATTCTTGTATATATATATATATATATATATATATAATCGGAATCTCGGAAACGGCTCCAGCGATTTTCATGAAATTTAGTATGTGCGTAGATTCGGGGGCGAAAAATCGATCTAGCTAGGTTTCATTTTTAGAAAATGTCTTTTTATCCCTGTTTTCAGGGAATGAAAAATATAATTCGAATATGACGGTAAATTTCGCCGCAAGCGAAAATGTCAAAATAGCTCGGTCGGTAATCGGGCGGCCCCAAAACAGACGGCCGTGGTTCGCGTCACGATCGCACATTTATTTTTTTACTTTTTTTTTCCGATTCCAGATCATTGCTTTCTTTATTTTTAATTTTTTGTCGATTTGTTATTTTGTTATTTTTTTCCCTTTCTTTTAAAGTTCTTTCTTTTGTGAAAAACATCAGTTCATATTTTCTTATTATTACGTCGGTAAGATCGAAAAATATTATGCATATTTCATTACTCAGTAATTTTTATCTCAATATAAGTCCAAAATACACGATTTACCAAAAAAAAACAAACCGAGCAAAGCTCGGTCCTCCGGGTACTTATAATATTATATGGCAATTATTAGTAGATCGTCATCAAGATCCTATTTTCCAATTCGATTCGATTTTAAAATCCAAGATTCGATTTTTGGCTACAAAATATTTAAAAACTCAAACCAGCATGCGTGTCTCAGTTTAGCTCTAAAGCTAAAAATAGACGATTTAGCTGATTTAATTTTTACCCATATCGGTCGTAGTAAACTAGATAGTAGATAAACAAACCGTACAAGTATTCGAACAACAATTTTCTAAATTTTTAAATGCCTACATTTGAACTATTAACCTACTCTATAAAATAGCAAAGCAAGGTAATTATCCCGCTCGCAATTACAGCTAAGTCCGCAAAAAATGCTTTTTTTATGTCCAAAATTTCGCGACCCAACTCCCGAAAGCGGATATCAAATAGTATTTGCGAAAATTGTCTGGGTTTTCATTATTAAAGCAAATGGCAATCAACAGGAGATTGTAAAAAAATTTAACAAACGTCATCATTCTGTTTCATTTAAATAAATTTTATTCTCAACGCTATAAGTACGTCTTTCTCGAAAGCTTGTCGGTCGAGACTCGAGACTCAACTAAATAAAAAAATTCAAACGCGACTGACACACATTAGTCGTGTCGAGTGAACGTCGGCGTATCACTGCTCACAGCTTACCGATGCAAATACGCGCGCGCTCACGCGCAAAGCTTAGTTTAGTCTTCGCAAAATGAACCTTTAAATATTTTATTAAGGCGCTGTATGCAGTAAAAATAGGTTTTTCAAAAGATTTTTTGGCAAAATCTACACATTTTATAGCAGCAAAAAAAATATATATTAATCTTGATCGTACATTCTAATGGAACATTGTTTCCGAAACATATTCTCGATATATTTTCTCGATAGAAAAAAATCATGAAACTACCTCTAAAAGAGAATTTCAAATCCAAAAATGAACGTAATACATCAACAAATCTTAACGAAATTAATATCAGTGGTGTAGAATATATTAATAAAAAGGATTGTTGTTTTAATTTGTTGATTGAAGTAAGATATTTGTAAATATTAATTTAATTCATTAAAATTAATTTGAACGCGATGGCCAAAACACCGCGCCACCGCCGCGTTGTTTCGGCTTTCTTCCAACTCCACACGTTGAACACAGAGCGCTGAGGCGCCTTGCTAGATGGATCTATGCCGCTCATCGTCCGCACACCGTTACGAAATATGTTTCGTATTCAATCATTATTGAGAGTTTTAATATTAGTACCCGGAGGACCGAGCTTTGCTCGGATTGTTTTTTTTTTTTGGTAATTCGTGTATTTTGGAAATTACATTTAGATAAAAATTACTGAGTAATAAAATATGTATAATATTTTTCGATCTTACCGACGTAATAATAAGAAAATATGAACTGATGCTTTTCACAAAAGAAAGAACTTTAAAAAAAAGGGGAAAAAATAACAAATCGACAAAAAATTAAAAATAAATAAG